TTCCCTCTGTCTTTTTTTTAGCAATTGCTGCACCATAACTCTTAATGTAAGTTACATAAGTTTAGTTAAGTTACATAAGAGAGACTCGTAATGTGATATATTGTGATGGTCAACGATATTTCTGTGAGAACTTTGATGATACGATATCATGATATTTTGGTTGTTGTTACATCCCTAACTGTGAGGTTCAAATACGGTGACGATATCATATCATGAGAGCTGGATATCCTTACACCCCTAACATTTACAATGGCAATTAATCAAATTTGAGTTATTCATTATAATAAGTAATACGATTTTTTTTAGTGATCTACTTATAACGGGTTCAGCTGCTCATTCTTCACGTAAAAAAACTCTGGACCTACTTTACTTTTTAAGCTCCCAAAACATTTTTCCACGTGCTATTTCCAGCCTCGGTGCACGTGTATCTGCAGGACCTTTCACCTTTGACCCGTCTGTCACCTACAAAGCGGCGCAGATACCAGCACTGCAGTCGCTTTAAGTCCCAGAGATAGAGTCAAGGTTCTGCGCTGTGACCTCAGGCAGGGGAGGGGTGTGCGTGTGTTTCATCTTTCAGAGGGACATGGTATCGACAGCAGACTCTAACCCACTTTCTTTTTTGATCAGAGGAAACAAGCGCAGGTCTCAGTGGACAGACATCTGGAACTCTGCTTTGAAGGGCCATGTTGCGCTATTTTCTGATCTGTGCTGTAATGCTGTTTCCTCATCAAAAACGCAGTAAACCTGGAGTTGTGTTTTTGTTTTATTCACATGTTTAACACACAAAACCAGGCTGACTTCTTCTCTCAAATGGAAAACACTCAATACAGGAAGTGCTCCACTGTGTTTTTAAAGTCTATACACCTTCACGAGAATTATTTGGATAATTGCAGCTCTGGAATTGCCGATCTGTACTGAATTAAAGGTAAAAGGTAGCTATTAACTTCAAAACTACCACTTCATGACATCCAGGGCTGGGTATCATTGAGAAGTTGCAGATATGATACATAAGTCGATACTGTGAGCGTATGATTCGATATGATTCAGTATGATATATTTCAAATGGATTTGATACTGTTCAATAAAAAAATAAAGGCTAAATCATGGCTGTGATACTGAAAGTCTTTGTTAAACCACTTCTTGTGCAAAGTTAATATGAAACACAAACATTTTAATCATCAAAACAGTGAAAATGTCAATTGTATCGCATAAATGAGTTTCCTTCCTCTAAACCAGGAGTCTCCAACCTGTAGCTTGGGAGTTACCAGTAGCTCTCCACCTCCTTCCAAGTAGCTCGTCCAAGGATTTCTGAATTATACATATTGTACTGAATGACTCAAATCTGATGAACTATTATTATAAATGTGTAATTTTGATGCCTAACTTTGTGCACCAATAAATTAATAAAGGTTTATATTTTATAGGTATTGAACTGTTCTCATTCTAAGACTTTCTTAAGATCAGTTTCTTGTGACCACTACAAGTTGTAGCTCTTTCGCATTTTCTTTTTGTGAAAGTAGCTCACTGGAAGAAAAGGGTTGGAGACCCCTGCTCTAAACAAACAAAACTGTAGCGCTGTAACAAAATAATTAAAATATACCAAAAAAGACTCAATATATGCGATATATCGATAGAGCAGCCCATGTTATCATTACTGTTTTATCACGTTAGGCGATATGATATACTGATATTTCAATAATTTTGCACACCCCTAATGACATCACAGGGTAGAATTGAGCATTTTGAGCTTTGGAGATGTAGACAGCTTAGTAATAAAGGGTTACTCAAACATGTGAATGAAACAAACACAACTCCAGATATGTTTTTGCTGAGTTAACAACATTATAGCGTGGCTTAATGCTCTCAAGAGTGAATTTTGCATAATATAGGAGCTCTCCTAGTGCAACCAGGCTCGTCATATGCCACACTGTATTTTTGCCCTCTTTATAGTCGACTGCAGGCCTCTCTCTCTCTCTCTCTCTCTGTGTGAGTCTGTCCTCTGTATGAATGGTGTTTAGGAAACAGAGAGCACAGGAAAGGCAGAGCAGCCATGGAAGAATAGAGGGATATCCCCTTACAAGGCTCCCCTCCTTTTTCCTCTGGGATAGAGAACTTTAAAGGTGGGGGCTGTGAGCGTCGCCACCTGTTCATACACGTGTACCAAACCCAGTGCCTTTTCAACAACACATGGACCCAGTGATTAGGCCTGTCACAATAGCTGTTTGAAGTGTGTTATATTGGTGAACTAAATATAGACGATAACAATAATACCAAAACCAAACCATACAACAGAATACAAATGTAGAATATTGTTTTAAAAAAAGACTTACTGGCTGTAATTCACCATGTATTGAAAAATTGTTGCTCCTCTGCACTGCGAGCCTCGTCATTTTGGTCTTAAATGTTCATATTAACCCACTCCTGGTATTTTTATTTAGCTGTTTTGTCCATAAATTAATTCCTTTTCCTAATATGAACCTCAGCTCCAAATTTGTCCCATAACAGCATGCCTCAGTCAGCTTCATTTGACTGGAGCCCAATGCTGTTGGCGGCATTACACTCCCTTAGTCCACTTTTTTATACAGTCAGTGCTATAAATAAATAAAAAAATAAGTAATAAAATGCAACTCTTAAGTAGTTAGTTTGTATAATGAGTCAAATCTCATCATAGTACTGAAAAAAACTACAACAAAAATGTCCCTTTAGTGTAAGAAAAAGGCCCCGACAATAAATTTTGACCCTCAAAAGTTATTGTTCCACCCTTCATATACTGAACAATAAGTCGATATACTGTAGTATTTATTGTGACAGGCCTAGGAGTGATGCATGCTGGGAAATGTGTCTGTGTGTGTTGCTGGGGACCCTGAGATTAGCTCTTTGTGGCCCAGATTACACCAGGATCAGAGCCTCCACTTATTACACTGTTCTGAGCTCCATCAGTGAGACAGTGGGCCGGCCCAGGCTTTGGACTTAAGACCCTCTTTAATTACACTTGTGCTGAGAGGAAAAGTACCACGTTCAACTCACTCAAGCTGTTTATATATATATATATATATATATATATATATATATATATATATATATATATATATATATATATATATATATATAATTTTGGTCACCCAGCACAGTAATAAAGGATAAACATAAAAAGACATAACCAAAAAATAAGACTAACCCACATAATATATCCAAGTCACATTGATTTTTTTATTTATTTATTTATTTTTTATTAATTATTTAATATTTTTTATTTATTTATTTATTTATTTGTTTATACTTATATATTTTTTTTATTTATTTTAATTAATTAAGTTATTATTTTTTATAGATTGATTATATTGCAATAATACATACAATAAAATAATACAAAATATATATAATAATACAAAATAAAAATAAATAAATAGATAAGCAAATAACAGGACATAACAAAATAAGATAAAAGAAAAAAGAAAAGGAAGATAATAAATAAATAAAATATTAAATAAATAAGGTAAAAAAAAAAAAAAAAAGGAAAGAAGTGGGGCTGAGGAGTTGTGTACTATAGAGTTTCTCAGTACATGTGTGTATTTACATTTTATTTACAATTCAGGGGTGTCATCATTCATCCTATTTACAAAGCTCCACCTTCCACTCAAGCTGTTTGTAACAGATCTGAACATGTCAAACCAATCAGGGCCCTTTTATCTGGAGCACACTGTGGCATGCTTTGTGTTAGCGTAGTGTCTGTCTGTAGAAAAGAAGGCATGAGAGGATTATCGCTTTCGTGCCATCCTTATCACTTACAAATGCTCAATAAGCAGAGATGGGGAGAATACTTTGAAAATGTGTTTAGTTTCAGAATACTGAACGTACATGGTCCAATCAGAGTAGTGTTTTTGGATATTTAGTATACATTAACACCAAGTTGTATTATATTATAGTGACAAAAATACAACATAGTCTTACAAAAGGCTTTATTTTGCCCGCCACCTGCTTGTCTTCATGGAAATGTAATTGCTTCGTCGATAATGCCTCACAGTATCGCATTAAACTCATCTATTTCCATGGAGAAGAGTCTGCAATGTCTCCACATTACAAGTCAGATCTGTGGAGAAGCTCATTCACTCACTGTACGAATGCAATTTGTAGTATTTTTGAGAAATAAAACACCTTGAACTTGAATAAATGTTGGTTTTATAGCTCAAAAATAGCTCTAAAAAGAGGAATGTGAGCTGTGAGCGGGGTCGCTTCTCCATAGATCTGACCTGTAACTTGACCTTGTCTGGTCTCCATGAAGTTGGAAAGGTTTAATGCCATACTGTGATACATTTCAGAGCCATATCATCTCCGTGGAAACAAGTTTGTAGCGGATCCCCTACCAGAAATGTTACACCTTTGTGCACTTTTAACTTTAATGTCTAATTAGAGAAGGAAAATCTAATTAAAGTGTAACTACATCACAATACAGCCACTTAAAATCAATATTCACACTATATTTTTTGTTTATTTTATTTATTTAAAACAAGAACAGTGTACAGAAAACATATTCACAGTAGGGATGTAACGATATCCAAATCTCAGTACGATATTATCACGATATGCATCTCACTTTTTTGCTTTAAAATACCTTGACAAGATTTTGGTGTGAATTATTCCCGTCATAATCACAAGAATTCAAGTAAAAAATATATTTCTTCATGTTGTCTGGGCAGAAATGAATCATGGGATATGTAGTTTCCGATGTTCATAAGCTGTTTTTTTCTATAAAACAAAGCATTTAAGCGAAGAAACTTGAGATTTGATATATTCTGACAGTCCACGATATTATTGTGTGACGTTTGATGATACGATATCACGATATTTCTGTTATTGTTACATCTCTAATTCTCAGTACATGTATTTAGTTACTTCTCAGTACTGTCAATAGGAATTATATCAGGGCGGTTATCGTCAAGTTTTTCTCTCGGGCTCAAAATAATAGCTCTCTTCTTTCTCTTCTTTTTTCTTTTTCCAAGGGGCCACCAGGGACATCGGCTCAGCCCTCACCAGGATGTGCATGCGCCACCGAAGCATTGAAGCGAAATTACGGCACTTCACCAAGTAAGCATCACCTGTTTCTCTGTTTTCTCCACAATTTTCGCCCCTCTCTTCTCTTGAGAGCGTCATTATATCCCACGGTCCCTCCCCACCCCTCGGCCTCCCTCTCACTGTTTCCAAGTGTTTTGTTTCTTAGATATAGGGCTGTTTGTTATGACCCTCGCCTCTTTGTTGATTTTTCTGCCTGTGACTCTAGTGCTCTTATGGAAGGCCTAGTTACACCACTCCAGGACCGAATGGAAGAGTGGAAGAAGACGGCCAACCAGCTCGACAAAGATCATGCCAAAGGTACAACAACAAAATAATAGCCTGCCATCTCAGAATAAAAGATCTGTTTGTGAAATACAGCTCTGGTTTCACTTTTACATTTATAGAATACAAGAGGTCTCGTCAGGAAATCAAGAGGAAGTCCTTAGACACGATAAAGCTCCAGAAAAAAGCCAGGAAAGGTGAGATTTTGTCGTTTGATACGTCTGTATGTAGTGTATGTATTTCTACGGTGGAATGTTCAGCAGTTACCACGGCGACACAGTGCACACATTAGCAAACACTGACAAAAATGTAAAAAAAAAAAAGGCATAAAATCAAGAAAAAGAAATACAAAATGGATTTAATTAGAATATTTTTAGGAGCCTGTCATGAATACGAGCGTTCATGGTTAGGGCTGGGTTTGGAATTTTGGACATAGAACCTCATTTCCTAGTGAGCCAGAGTGTTGGAGACGAGTGGAGACGCTTTTTAAAAATATCCCATCCAGTCCTTGTATTTGCAGAGGCTAGTGCATGTCATTGACCACCAAAAACAGTCTTACCCACTCCACAAAGCATCCAAAGAAAATCTATTATTACGCCAGACTGTCGATGTGAATGTCTGTGTTGATAGAATAATGTTTGAAGTAAAACTAACCTTTGCATCGCATGAATCATCGTCTGTTGAGGGACTATTTTCTCATATATCAGTCCACCGCTGCCAAACTTTCTATCAGGAAGTACAACTCACTGCTGCTGCTCAGACAAAAATCCTTCAAATTCAAGGTTGGTTTTACTTCTAATATTATTCTATCAACACAGACATTTACATCGACAGTCTGGTGTAATAATAGATTTTCTTTGGGTGTTTTGTGGAGTAGGTAAGACTGTTTTTAGGGGCAGGATAACTATGGCCATTGACATGCACTAGTCTAGCACCAGTGACCTCTGCAAATACAAGGACTGGATGGAATATTTTAAAAAGTGTCTCCACACGTCTCCAACACTCTGGCTCACTAGGAAATGAGGCCCTATGTCCAAAATTCCGAACTGACCCTGAAGAAGTTGCAGATACAATACATACCTTGCCATGATACGACACACATTTCAATACAGTGAGCTTTCGATTCAATACGATATATTTCAAATCAGTTCGATACGGTTCAATGAAAATAAAGGCTTAAAAATCATGGCTGTGATACTAAAAGTCTTTGTTAAACCACTTCTTGTGCAAAGTTGATATGAAACACAAACATTTTAATCATCAGAACAGAGAAAATGTCAAATGTGTCACATAAACAAGTTTCCTTCCACTAAACAAGCAACAAAACTGTAGCTGTAACAAAATAATTTTGTAAAATATACCAACAAATACGATATATTGATACAGCAGCCCATGATATCGATACTATATCATCACATTAAACAATACGATATATGGATATTTCAATATTTTTGCACAGCCCTATTCATGGTTCTGTTTAGGTGTAGTTTTTAATTTTTTTGATGGTCAGGTTGTGTTAAAACAAAGCTCAGATTTAAGTCTTGAGTAACAGAGGTTCAGACAGAGCAGTGCCTACAGTTAGCACCACACCCCTCGAGAACGTTGACGCCCTCAGCTTCAAAGTATCAACTGCGACTACACTTTGAACACAAAACTACACTACATGCGTTCATTAATAACCCCTGCTTGACTACTGTATGCACTTTTGCACCACTGAAATGGCGCCATCTAGAGCCCAGACGCAGAAATGGCGTTTTAATCAAGCATAAACGCCTGGCACCGCTTCAACTCCTCCTGTCCCACTTATGACTTATAAATCAGCCCGCCTGCCAGACCTCACTTAAGCTTCTACTAACTGATGTAATGAAATGCTCGTTATTGTTCACTCTGTTCTCTGCCAAATCACACTCAAACGCATTGTGGTGTAATTACGGGCTGTGCGGCTAACCCTCTCTCCTGTCTCCCTCCCTGCCTGCTCCTGCTGTTCTTTCTTGTTTTCTTATGGCCTTTTATCTCACGTTAGAGCTTCTAGGTACGTTTAAAGTATTCACTATTAACTGTTCACCGTGCATCTCATTCACCAAAGCATCAGTCATCTTTGTGTCATATTTACAGTATTTAAGACTAGAGACGATAGTAAAAAGTTTGAAGATTTTTCTTCATATTGGTCAATTTTGATTTTCAATTTAATTCAGTTTATTTTTATTGTAAAGTGCTCATATTACGCTATTTTCTGATTTGCGTTATAATGTTGTTTCCTCTTCAAAAACAGACCTTGAGTTGTGTTTTGTTTCATTCACGTGTTTAAATTCAGTGTAAATTCTGCATATTTAGGCTGAGTTCTTCTCTTAAACAGAAAAAAATCGGTTCCACCATGTGACGTCGTAATACAAGAAGTGCGCCACTGTGTTTTTAAACTCCGTACACCTTCACTAGAATCATTTGGATCATTTCAAACATGGAATTTCCTATTTCAGCTGAACTAAAGGTAAAAGGTGTGAACTTGAAAACTACAGCTTCGTGACATCACAAGGTGGAGCTTTGGAGTTATAGACAGACTAATAATAAAAGCACTCAGAAATGTATCAATGAAACAAAACAACGTTCCTGGTATGTTTTTGAGGAGGTAACAACATTATACCATGACTTAAAGCTCACAAGAGTCAATTTTTCACAATATAGAACTTTTAAGTTTTGATTTCATGGACATAAACAAGATTAATTATTTTTATTCATTGCGGTTTAAACACACACACAATAAAATCTTCCTCCAAATTACATGACAGAGGATTGGCTGCGAACCTCTTCATTAAAAAGACCCTCTTTGACGATTAGACTAAACCTCGTGCTCAAATTTGATTAATTGCCCCGCTCTAGATACAAATGACCCCCATTACTGTCTTGGTGTTTGGATAATTCTTGTTTCAATTATTTAAACTCTCAAACTATTTGCTTAATTGCTTATTAACTTAGGCTGTTACATGGCATTTGCAGCCTGTTATGCAGCCGCAGTAATGATTTTTGTTAAAGTTTAAAGGGCTTGTATTATTCACTTTTTTTTTTTTTTTTATCTGTGCTCATCACAAACAGACCTGGAGTTGTGTTTTGTTTCATTCAAGCATTTTTAACACACAAACCTGCATATTTAGACTGAGTTCTTCCCTCAAATGGAAAACACTTTGTTCCACCTTGTGATGTCATGTGGTAATGCAAGAAGTGCTCCATTGTGTTTTTAACTCTTTCCCCCATGAAGACGACATTTGACAACCCCCTTGTATCTTTAATGACGTGTTTCGACACCTCCGCTGTATCACTAAAGACGTGGTTTGACGACCATTAGAAACGTTGTGGTTTTTCACATGTAAACAGAGGTTGCGATAGGTGGGGGCCACTACAACCCATTCTAGGCTGACCAATAGGATTGAAGAATACGTTTTTGCCGAAGTTAATCAAAGTAGTGACGATTGTATCTTCGATTGTTTTCGATTTTGCACCTGGCCAGATAAACTCTCATTTTCAGTGAGCTGTTATAACCCTGTAAATGAGCTGAATCACATTTAAACATCCATAAGTGAATTGTTCAGAGTCTAAGGTTTCTAGAGATACAAATATGTCTGTGTTTCAATTAAGTTCATGAGTGTGAAACTCATTTATAATCACTCGGGGAAGTCCGTTTTCTTTTATGCAATTCTGCTCTATGGGTAGCCCTAGTAATATATGTATGGTTTGTTCCTAGTAGGCGTCCAAGGGGAAAAGAGGTAAACTCTATATGTACACCTTCACTAGAATCATTTGGATGATTTCCGCCTTGGACTTGCCGATCTGAAAATAAGATAAACGGTAGCTGTTGTGTTGAAAACTACTGCTTCATGATATTACAAGGTGGAACAGAGCATTTTGAGCTTTCAGAACTGAAGAAGCAGCTTGGATGAGCTGCGAAATGTCTTGAACCAAATTAACTTTTGTCTATTTGACTAACTGAAGTTCTCCTTTTGCCATGGATCCTACCTGGACGACTGAGGGATTTTATAAACAGACTAATAATAAAGTGTTACTCAAACATGTGTGAATGAAACAAAATACAACTCTGAGGAGGTAACAACATTATAACATTTTAAAGTTCAAGAAGAATCAATTTTGTGTAATATAGGACCTTTAATTAACTTCCATCTTATAAAATACTAAAATGTCGAAACAGCACAAGCATCCATCCACTACCATTTTCTCTGCATTTCTTCAAACTTTTGCCCTTTTTTGTCATTCAGCTTCTACCATTTTAAGATCTCTTGTCTTTCATCCCGTCATTTCATTTTACACGGACCATCTGTACAGTGCTGTGACCGCTACAAGTCGTTTATCACTATTCACATTTTTTATCATGTCTAAATTTGTGCTCTATTTCTCCATCACCCACTCCGTCATCCTCCCTTCATTCCTGTCCAAATCCTCCTTCTCTCCTGAACATTCCTTCGCTCTGTTCCCTCTCCCTCTCTCTCTTCTTCCTCCCCTGTTTTTTTTTTTTTTTTTGTGGTATGTGCGTTAAGGCCGGGGAAACCTGCGCCCCCAGCTGGACAGTGCTATGCAAGACGTGAACGACCTTTATTTACTGATGGAGGAGACGGAGAAGCAGGCGGTCAGGAGGGCTCTGCTGGAGGAGAGGGGCCGGTACTGCGCTTTCATCAGCCTGTTGCAGCCTGTGGTGGTGAGGTTTTGTTTTAGAATGTACAACTTTATAAAAAATAAAAAAAAGTACAAATGTAACGAAATATTGCTTTTTGTTGTTGGATTTTTAGAATGTAGAGATTGCAATGCTGGGTGAAACAACTCACCTCCAGGCCATTGTGGACGACTTGACTCTACTGACTGAAGATCCACACAAACTGCCTCCTGCAAGTGAACAGGTATTGAGACATTACAATTGTACAATAGTTAAAAAAAAAAAAAAAAAAAGAGCTCACCGTCTTTGAAGGCTGCACGCTCAAGACCACATGCGTTAACTGTTCATTTATTAAGGCAAAAGGCTGCGGTGGGCTCCTGGCAAAAATAGAGCCCATCTGAATTAATCCAAAGCGTTACAGCACCTCCGTGGGCTTTACTGGACTGTACGGTGCGCGCCCTGAGCTCCTCTCGATGCTTTTAATTATACGGAATACTTACAGCAACGTACTGGAGCTGCACTGCAAGAAGTCTGAGCTCGGGGTTAGGTCGTCTCTTTTAGTGAAGAAAAAATACAAAAGAAAACATAAATAAAAAAGATAAAAAGAGAAACCTCAAGCAGAACCACAGTGAAGAAGAGATCCACTCCCGTGGACTAAACTGGAATAACTGAACCTGGACTGAACCTGGAGCAAACCACGACTAAACCTGGAATAACCCTGAACTAAACCAGGGCTAAACCAGGGCTAAACCAGGACTAAACCAGGACTAAACCACAATTAAACCTGAACTAAACCTGGACTAAATCTGGACTGAACCTGAACTAAACCATGACTAAACCACAATTAAACCTGAACTAAACCTGAACTAAACCTGGACTGAACCTGAACTAAACCAGGGCTAAACCAGGACTAACCTGGACTAAACCTGGACTAAATCAGGAATAAACCAGGAATAAACCATGACTAAGCCTGGAATAACCCTGAACCAAACCAGGACTAAACCAGGGCTAAACCTGGACTAAATCAGGCATAAATCATGACTAAACCTGGATTAAACCACGACTAAACAAGGACTAAACCTGGACTAAACCTGAACTAAACCAGGACTAAACCAGGATTAAACCTGGACTAAACCACAACTAAACTTGAATTGAACCTAGACTGAACCTGGACTAAACCAGGACTAAACCTGAACCAAACATGGACTGAACCAGGATTAAACCAGGGCTAAACCTGGACTAAACCTGGAATAAACCTGGAATAAATCAGGCATAAATCATGACTAAACCTGGACTAAACCACAACTAAACAATGACTAAACCTGGACTAAACCCGAACTAAACCTGAACTAAACCTCGACTAAACCTGGACTAATTTGCAGATAAAGTTCACATCTGTATGACCAGAGCTCATTCAAGACTAAGGGACAGACTAGGGGTCATCCAGGACAGAGAAGGAGAGGATCAGGGACCATACATCATTACAACTTTACCAAATATCATGCATAAGTTCTTGTTTGAGCTTCACAGTAAAACAAACTTAGATGGTCTTAGTGCAGCATTCTCCTTGTTCCTGAACCTTATGTAATTTCCTAAATGTTTTTTTTTTTTTTTTTTTTATGTTTAAGGTGATCCGGGACCTGAAAGGCTCGGACTATAGCTGGTCCTACCAAACTCCTCCCTCTTCACCGAGCAGCACAAGCTCCAGAAAAAGCAGCATGTGCAGGTGAGTGTTTTGGTTCATTTCAGTTGAGAGTTTACATATTTTTTGAGGCACACAATTGTGAAGTAGCAATTTTTTCCTTTTAAATTGCCTTGACGAGTCTTTGGCTCTGTCATAATCCAAATAGGGCGAATTTGGAGGCGAGTTCCGAGTCGATTTACAAACAAAATAGCGAAATAAAAACACCAGAATCATGTGGAGTTGGTTAATATGAACATTTTCCTATCCTATCCATTAGTTTCCTATCCAATCCAGTTCCTAACATGTGAGCTGTGGTCTGCACTGATACGGAGCAAAGGATCATGGTCTATGTAGTTCCTTCTGTTTTTAGCTATTGCTGCACCATAACAATGAATTTAAGCAAAGAGACTTGTAATTCAATATATTATGATGGCTCTCGATAATATTACGGGAGATATTTCTATTTATCTTACCTCCCGAGTCTAAAGTGAACATTTGACGCCGTTACTCGATAGTACGCACTGATTCAAGTGACTGTTGACATGCACTCTTACCCCTCTCCTGAACTTTTGGCAGATTTGCAGTTTCAAGCCTCTTAGCGCCAGATTAGGTCCAAAGTTGTCGAACATGACAGCCTAAAAGCCATGCTCCAACATGTGCACCAGCGCTGACTTATTCATGGGGCTAATAGTGATTTTACATTTTATCTACACGTGTGGGTCAGGAGTTCACCCTTAACTGTAGACTCAGCAGGAAAAGTTAAACCAACCGAGCCAGCCTTTATCACAGTTAGACACCTTGAAGCATACAAATTAACTTCACTTTGCTTATAGACTATATATGTACGCAATCGACTGTATACAATTTCCTGTTTTATTATCTTAGTGTTGAAGGGCCAATATTACGCTGTTTTATGATCTGTGTTATAATGTTGTTGCCTCATCAAAAACAGACCTGGACTTGTGTTTTGTTTCATTCACACATGCTTAACATACAAATCGTTACACCTTCACTAGAATTATTTGGCTAATAACAGACCTGGAATTTCCAATCTCCACTAAACAAAAGGTAAAAGTAGCTGTTAAAACTAACGCTTATGAGCTTTGGAGATGTAGACATACCGTATTTTTGGACTATAAGTCGCACTTTTTTCATGGTTTGGGTGTTTCCTGTGACTTATACTCTGGTGCGACTTATATATTAAAATTTTCAGACTGACAGCCCCGAGAGAGCGCTCTAGGTTTGTGCATCACTTTTCTGCGAATATCTCCTGCAGAAAAAGCCACTGTCCTGCTGCATGTAGTGAAATATGCAGCAGAAAATGGTAATCAAGCAGCAGAAAGAAAGTTTGGAGTGAGCGAGAAACTTGTGAGGGACTGGCAGAGTGAGATGGAGAGTTTGGTAAACTTATGTTCTGTTGTTTATGCTTTAATTATCTGAAGAAGTCTTAATATGCTACATTAACATATGAACACCTATTCAGCCTGTTGTTCTTTTTTCTATCGTTATTACTATAACTTGCATTTCAAGATAAAATGTCAGTTCCTGGTCCCTGATTTTATAAAATAAATTTCCCCCCAAAAAGCGCGACTTATAGTCCCGTGCGACTTATATATTATATGTTTTTTTCTTCTTCATTGCACATTTTTTGGCTGGTGCAACTTATACTCTGGAGCGATTTATAGTCCGAAAAATACAGTACTAATAATAAAGGATTACTTAAACATGTGTGAATGAAACAAAACACAACTCCAGTTATATTTTCATACAGGTAACAACATTTTAACATGGCTTTAAAGGTGCACTGTGTGACATTTTGGGTAAGGATCAGTCACCTGCTTGTTTCTATAAATATGGCATTGCTCTGCTTGGAATATTCTTCAGCAGGGATCACCACACTTTTTTCTCTGGGGGCCACATTATCTCTCCTGACTGTGATGTGGGGCTGGGGTCGGGTCGGCCGTGTAACAGAATTATATGACCATGACGATGCAGATTATATTCTTGGAAAACCGCCACACTTTCTTTACATATCAGACAAACTGCATGGTCCTTACACTGAACAAAAAAATAATCGGTCGTCCCCTGTTCTTTGAAAACTCGGCATTCTCTGTCAGCTTTTCATATTTTAACATGAGCCATTTTGCTGTCGTTAGCTGCACTACAGAATTCTGCGCGTGTGTCGACTGTCACTGTTTGATCTCGAGTTGTCAGGTGATGAAAATTCGGTAGCAAATGTAAATACGTCATATAATTATTTTAATATAAATTCTTCATATAAATATCATTTTTTAAATTGAAAAAATCTGCAAAATACAAGATGCAGACGTGTTATTATTTATCAAAAAGTAAGTAAAAAAAAATTGGTAAAGATGAAAATATTGGCACAAAAAAAAACGCCTTATTTTTTTGCATTAAATTGAGCCAGAATTATGTAGAAATGTGTTTTAACCCTCTCAGGCTCAAATGAATTTTTAGTATCAGGAAAAATCTGATATTTGGGGAAAATTATAATATGGGGTAGTAATATACAATCCTGACTTTTTTATCCTTTGTAAACAAAAAAAGTATTTTGCACTTCTGGCAGGCCGTTTGTGTGTAGCCATTCTTGCACAGTCTGCATCGTCCACGTTTATCAGCATGGATGGGAAAAAAGGCTCCTGAGTAAAAAAAGCTAGTAAAGTAAGTAGGTACTTGGAATTTAGCTGTTGCAAATCTGCAACGCCTGCCTGGAGAGGGTTAAGAATTATTTTTTCTCTGAATGATGTCACCACATGTGTTCTTTGCATCTGGAATGCATTTATTGACAGCTTACCCAACCCACTGAAGATTTCAGGAAATTTTTCATTTTTCAAAAGTTTTTGTCAAAAAATGAAGGTTACATACACTAAAATGGCCACAAATTTTTTTCGCGATATTTCTGGAAGAGCAGACCCTCCAATTATTGGTCCTTAGGGTTACAGTTAACAGAAAAAAAACACAAATAAAAAGTATGGCAGACAATGTCGGGTTCAACCCATTTTTGAGACTTTGGCTCTCTGACTATAGGGCCAGTTCAAGTGCTGGGGGCAGAGGGGCTGGAGGGGCCAGTCAAAGGGCCGTGGAGGGCCGGAGCCAGCCCGCAGGCCGTAATTTGATGACCCCTGTTCTATAGAATGGCATTAAGCAGCTCTATCTTACATTTATTCAATTACAGCTCAAACATATCTAGAGAAATAGGCATTCTGACTGTGAGCGAGATTGAATTTCCACAGATCTAACCTGTAACTTGGCCTGTTTGTTCTCCAAGATGATAGAAAGGTTTAATGCCATACTGTGAAACATTTCAGATAAAACAATTACATCTCCATGGAGAAAAACATTTGACGGACCCTCCACCAGAAAAGTTACACAATGCATTTTTAATCTCACAAGAGTCAGTTTTGCGTAATATAGGGCATTTATATCTGAAACCAGAACAAAACTTTGCGGAGTAAAAGTTGTACTTTTTCAGTTTATTCATTCCGACATAATCCCCATTCTAGAGGACAAGGATTAAAGCAAAATGATAATGTCAGATTTATTCCACGGGGAGAGGGGGAGGAGCACACAGCACACGCCATAAAACAGAGCAAAAGAAAGGATTCGCAAAATCTCAAAATGTGTGGGAGTAAAAATGGAAATGACCAGAAAAAGACTCATGGAAAAATACACAAAGCAGCTGTTAGTGTTCAGAGCAAAAACGAAATCAAAGACAGGATAATTTTTAATGCTCTTTGATGTTCCAAATGGCATCACTTAGAAAATCCAACCACATGTTCACAGCTTTAAATATCAAAATTTAATGTAGATTTTTTTCTTTTACACATTTATATTACGCAAAATGAACTCTTGTGAGCTTTAGACCGTGTTAAACTCTTGTTACTTCATCAAAAACATACCTAGAGTTGTGTTTTGTTTCATTCACACATGTTTGAGTAATCATGTTTGAGTCTGTCTACATCTCCAAAACTCAAAGTGCTCTTTTCCAATAAATCAAAACACAACTCCAGGTATGTTTTTGAAGAAGAAACATTATAACACAGAAAATAGCGTAATATGAGCCCTTTCAAACTTCTTAGTAAAAGTAAAATTTTGATCCTAATCCCTGTCTCTTTGGAGTAACGCTTTGTTTTGTATTCTGCGGACAGTCTCCTCCAGATGCCCTCGGCCGGTGCACATCGCCTCAGCAGCGTCTCCTCTCACGACTCCGGCTTTGTCTCCCAGGATGCAAACACCCACTCCAAACCGCCCTCTCCCATGCCCTCGGACATCACCAGCCAGGTACCACCGCCCTGAACTATCTAATGCTGTTTTTACTGAAAACATACACTAGACTTGGACACAGTAGCTCACACATCACAATATAATATCATAACAAAGAGTAAAAATATAAAAGGTAATAAAACATTCAAAATAAGTAGCAAAAATAACAAGAGGCTGGTGACAAATATAGAAATATACAATACAAATATTTCTTTCACCTATGTACAAGATGGATAAGAAGGAGTAGCAGTTGCAGGGAGTGTTTATCTGTTACATAAGTGTGAGTTGTTGTATAGTTTTAGGGAGTATTATCTACGGAAGCCGAGACGGGTCACAGCAAATGCAAACGCCGCAACAAATGCAAGTGCAACAACACAACAAAAAGCCACAACAAACCAAAAAAAAAAGCCACAACGGAAATAACCGCGGGACTCTATTTTACTGCAAACGCCGCAACAAATACAAACGCCACAACACAAACGCAAATGCCGCAACACATTAAAAAGCCACAACACATCAGAAAGCCACAACTGAAGTGACCAGGGACTGATCAAGCGGCAAGTGAAGAAGAAGAACTACAACGTGAAACGAATAATGATAAATCGATAAATTACTTTTACTTACGTTTCCAACTTCTCCGTTCCTTTACTTTTCACGTTGTAGTTCTTCGTCTTCACTTGCCGCTTGATCGGTTCGTCGGAAAATAGAGTCCCGCGGTCACTTCCGTTGTGGCTTTTTGATGTGTTGTGACTTTTTAATGTGTTGCGGCGTTTGCGTTTGTGTTGTGGCGTTTGTATTTGTTACGGCGTTTGCAGTAAAATAGAGTCCCGCGGTTATTTCCGTTGTGGCTTTTTTTGGTGTGTGGTGGCTTTTTGTTGTGTTGTCGCATTTGTATTTGTTGCGGCGTTTGCGTTTGTTGTGACCCCTCTCGGCTTCCGTAATGATCTATTACATAAGTGTAACTTGTTGCGCAGTTGTATGAAGTATGGCATGAATGCAGTCCTCTATCTCTCACTGTGCAGAGCTGTAGGAGTCAAAAGTTTGGACACACTCTACACACTACATTTTACATACATACAGAAGATATGTACAAATATATGACATAAGATATATGGAATTAGTAGGAAAGACAAAAAAGTTACGTAACTCTACTTTGATGTCTTCTGTATCTATAGCAAATGTAGAAAGTAATAAAAACAAAGAAAAAAAACATCGACTGAGAGGTGTGTCCAAACATTTTACTGGTAGTGTAGATGAGTAGGGCTGTGTAATAAAATACAAAAATAAATCAATATCAAGTTTCACTCATAAATTCTCAGAAATGCATCTGGAAAATCACAAAACAAAAAAACCAAGGCAGCCTTTATTGCATCTTGGCTGTTGAGGATAAAAACACACATTAACGCCAACTTTTTTGAACTACTTAAATGTTTAAATATGAAGGTGCACTGTGTAATTTTTTGGTTAGGGGTCCAACACCTGCTTGTTTCTATGGATATGTCATTGTTTTACCTGGAATGTTCCACAGTGTGACATTAAACAGCTTTAACTTACGTTTATTCAATTACAACTGGTTTTAAAGCTCAAAAATACCTAGTAAAACAGGTATTCTGACTGTGAATGGGTTGCCTCTCCACAGATCTGACCTGTATTTTGGCCTGGTTTGGTCTCTGTGAAGATAGAAAAGTTTAATGCCATACTGTGAAACATTCCAGACAAAGTAATAACATTTCCAGGGAGAAAAGCATTTGATGAACCCTTTACCCCAAAATGTATTCATGCACCACTTCTCCTCATTTTCTTTTTGCAAGAAATTTGACTTTTTTGCATTAAATCGCACTGATCAAAAGTCTGTGTTTTTCATGTTCAAGAAATGTTTTTATCGAATATGCCACTGCTATGTGCTTTTAATAAGACCGAATGAAAAGAAACTCGTGATGGATCAATAAGAGGGGAAAAAAAAAGTGATTCATTTTTTATGGGGCCGCTCAGCCCTAGTTACTTGAGTCATGCCACAGATGTACCGCTCGCTTGTATTCTAATTTTATGTCCACTCCAGAGGGACTATCACTGTATCACTGAACACCATTTCTGCGCTCGCGTGTTAACATTTCCTTCACAGTCATGCGTGCTGTTTTCATACAGAGCACTTCTCGTTTGTATAGACGCCTGCTGGCTACAGAACTCCATCACTTGTGAAATGTACTCAGAGGTTTTTGATCCCTCTGGACTCTCTGGTCTGAACAGTTTGCAGAGTACAGCGCACACTCAGCACTACACCAACTGATGCAACGATTCTTTTCTGAATATATGATCTTAGAAGCTGCCTTATTTTTGATCCTGCTATGGTCTGTAGATCCCCTCGGAGGAATAAAAAAAAGCTTCCGTTTTCTTTCTAAACCTCATCAACATTTCTCCAAGTCACACTCGTTCCCCGTCTCTTTCCTTCCTCCTGTCCTCCAGTTATTATCCTCCTCACGTTGTTTCTTATATTACATTTTCCCTTCCCCAGAAATCAACAAGCTCAGCCTCCTCGGAGGCCTCAGAAACCTGCCAGTCTGTCAGCGAATGCAACTCTCCCACAGCGGTTAGTAATGCATGCATATTCTCAATCTGCCCACTTGAAGGTCCTATATTACACCAAATTTACTCTTGTGAGCTTTAAGACAGGTTATAATGTTGTTACCTCATCAAAAACATACATACCTGGAGTTGTGTTGTGTTTCATTCATACGTTACTGTAAGATTTATTACTAGTCTGTCTACATCTCTATAGACAGTGTAGGATGATCTATGCTCAGGCAAATACTCTTAGGCGTAAGTTTGGTTCTTGTACAAAGGATGTAAAGTTGTTTAAATTGCTTAAATCATATTGTACACCGTTGAACACAGCCCACCTCTGGATTACCGTATTTTTCTGACTATAAATTGCTCTGGAGTATAAGTCGCACCAGCCAAAAAATACATAATGAAGAAAAAAACATGAAGACTATAAGTTGGGGGAAATTTATTTTATAAAATCAGAGACCAGGAACACTTCACCCTGAAAGTCAAGTTATAGTAATAACAATAGAAGAGAGAACAACAGACTGTTAACGTCACATATGAACAGTTCTTCAGATAAATATAACATAAACAACAGAACAGAACAAGTTTACCAAACTCTCCATCTCACTCCAAATCACTAAATCCATTCAATTCTTCATCTTCGGTGTCACTTCTGAGAAATTTCGCGACCTCCAGAGCTTCCTCTTCTGTGTAGCTGTCGTCAAACTCAGCATCAGTTCCAGTTAATATTCTTCCGGCCTTTCTGAATCCCGACAGGATTGTTTCAGTTGTCACTGAAGTCCAGGCTTTGTCCATCCATCCAGTGACTTCTAGGAAAGTTGAATGTTGCTCCCTCCAAGTTACTGTAAAGCTGTGGTTCTCCATCTTCACCTTTTCCCCAGTCCCTCACAAGTTTCTTGCTCACTCCAAACTTTCTTTCTGCTGCTCGATTACCATTTTTGGCTGAATATTTCACTACTTGCAGCAGGACAGAGGCTCTTTCTGCAGGAGACATGCGCAGTAGAGGATGAAGTGACAAAGGAGTAACAGATACTGACACACAAGCCTAGAGCCTCTCACGGCTGTCAGATTAAAAAATTTTATATATAAGTCGCACCGGAGTATAAGTTGCAGGAAATACCCAAACCATGAAAAAAAGAGCGACTTATAGTCTGAAAAATATGGTAATTACAAAAAAGCTAGTTTGCAAAGACTGCAGGTGGCCCACAATGACACTTTGCGGTGCTTTTGACGAGTGCGACAGAGATGTTTTTTACTGCACGAGTGAACACTTTGCAAGCGGCACTAAGAATTTTAATGTACAGTTTTATTTGAACAAATTTGACAATGAAATAATAATGTCACTCACAGATATGAGATTCAGTGCAATAAGATATCAGTCCAATATGTGGAGACACTGGTATAGTTGTCAGTTTTGTAATGTCACTGTCCTTGTCTGTTTTAAAAATTGACCATGAGTCTAGAGTAGAGATGATGATGATGATCTAAAGCTCAAAATGCTCTGGTCCACTTTGTGAGGTCATGTTGTGGTAGTTTTCTAGTTATCTTTGCTCCTTATAAGTGACCTTTTACCTTTAGTTCAGTAGAGACTGGCAATTCCAGAGCTGAAGTTATTCACATGATTCTTGTGAAGGTGTATGGAATTTAAAAACACAGTGGAGCACCTCCTGTATTACCACATGACATCACAAGTTTTCTGTTTGAGAGAAAAGCTCAGCCTAAATATGTGTGGTTTGTGTGTTAAACATGTGTGAATGAAACAAAACACAAATATAAGTATGTTTTTTTGATGAGGAAACAATATTATAACATAGATCTGAAAAAGGTGTAACATGGGCCCTTTAACTGGACACACTCACACATAATTTGCAGTACTCCTTGTTATAGTTTAGTTGAAGTGGCTGGTTGGTTCCTCTTGACAGCTGCAGTTTAATATAGACTATTTGTGGATGTTGTGGCCTCTGACTCACACTGTCTGTCCATTCCACAGTTTGGCTCATGCTCATCCTTCGGTACCTTCCGCCCTGCTTTCTCTCACACTGGCACCATCAGGCCTATGTCTGTCATACTTCCTGCGTCTCCCACATTTAACCACTCCCCCGGATCCAACACCCCCTCACCCACATCAAAGGTTCCTAGCTGGAAGGTTTGTTTTCATTTGCAGATTAACTTTTAATTTGCTTTTTTAATTCTGTTTTGCTTCTTTGCTTTTGTTTCAATGGCTCCGTACATGTTAACTGACTTATAATTGTGTAACACACTCTCTTCACTGTTGTCATCTTTTCTCATAAAGATGTCCTAAACTAGTCCCAACTTACAACACTCACACATGACGCTTCTGCCTGTGCATACTGAACTTCCACACCTAACTTCACCATGAGCCAAATGAACTGTACTGTTATGGATGATTCCTCAAACGGCTGTCATTAAACATTGAAGAGCAGGTTCATTGTCTCACTGTTTGTGCTGGCACAGGATTGGGCCAAAGCCAGTTCCTGTGAGCCGCCTTTGGCCAGCACTCCTCAGCGAAGGAGAGAGTCTGTGGATAAGATGAGGGAGTGTGAAGCACCTCCGAGCCCCCAGGGGTATTCTGGGATGCAGCCAGATGATCTGCACAGAACAAGAAGTCTTAAGGTGAGGCAATTCATAGAAATAGAGTAATAATCCTAAGAGGTATTGAATAAATGTTAAACCTAAGTGCACCTGTATTGTTCTAGCATGGCGAGCCCCTGTCTCCTGCAGCCAGTACTCTGGCCATGGTCCTGACCAGAGGCCTGAGCATGGAGCAGCAGAAGAGCAGCAGAGACTCACTGCAGTATTCCAGCGGATACAGCTCCCAGACCAACACGCCCTCATGCTCTGAGGACACCATCCCCTCTCAAGGTACACACACACAGACAATCACACACACACATACACGCACTCACACAGGCACACAGTTGATGCCTTCACTAGGCTGCGAGTCTATTTATTTACTGATCTGAATTTTAATGTGGACACTTTTGTTTTTATGTAATTCTCATGTGCTTGTGTAATTTGGAAAGTGTAGCACTCAGTAAGCTGCTGAACAGAAATGATTATGTAATTATACTGAAGAGCGGCAAAACTGACTCTTGAAAAGCGCTCTGTTTTCAGTTTGGCTTTATGAGGTGGAGAAAAAGTACATACTCATGTGTCTCTCTCTTTAGGCTCTGATTATGAGTGCTACTCACTCAATGGAGATGCTGACGGTGAAGGGCAGGCAGACTTCGACAAGTCCTCCACCATCCCACGCCACAGCAACATTGCCCAGAGCTACCGCCGCATGATTCAAACCAAGAGGCCCGCCAGCACAGCCGGTCTGCCCGCCGGTAAAACACAAAATGGCACAACAGGGCACAGCTCAGGAAGCATCACCTCAGGAACAGCTACCATACGGCGTACACCTTCCTCCAAAACCGGGGTGAGAAGGACTCCATCAACATCCGGCCCTATTCCCATCAGACCTCCCATTGTGCCCGTGAAGACGCCCACAGTGCCAGACTCTCCGGGATATGCCAGTCCCTCTCACCTTCACACCGGCAGTGATGAGTTTCTGTACGGTGACGACCCGACGTGTGACTACATGAGGGGGTCTCCAAAGAGAATGAGTCTCCCAGAAAACACCTGGGGCGGTGCAGGAGCCGGGGCTGACAGGACTGTTTATTCTCAGGAAGCCTCTGGCATGGTCGCCCACAGTGCAGAGGAAGACCCCTTTTTTGCTGCCAACCGCCACAGTCTGGTGGAGAAGATAGGGGAGTTGGCAGCTAGTGCACATGCCCTGGGCGAGGGGCAGTTCCCTTTCCCCAGCTCAGGGGAACAGGATGTGTCCTCCACAGACCACGGCGAAGTGGACATGCTGGTGTCCATCCGGAGAGGCGTCAGGCTCCGTAAAACAGTGACTGATGACAGGTCTGCCCCCATGATCCTGCGGTAGCTCAGGGAAAAGACATGTTTAGAAAAGCAACCAAAACTATTGCCCCAGAAACGTGGTTGTAAAAAGCAACAGCACTCGTCTAATAGAACAGATGAACAAGGCACAAAGAACAGAGACTTTAAAATGGAGAATGAAGGCCAGTCAAAGAAGAATGACTTTTGTCATGTCATGTATGTATGTATGCATACATACAAAGTAATCCATGCTTTTGGTTTAATTCCCCTTTCTCTTTTATTTCTTTTGTTTTTATGTCTATGGTTTTGTGTCTGTGCATCTCTTCACTGTGTGTCCAGTTTGTCTTTTAAATGCAGTGATCACAAGTAGATATTGAATGCTCTTTGTCTTTGCTCTTATGATTATTATAAAACTGTGTATTTTTACATAAGTCAGTCACCTGAAAGTGAACGTAACGAGTGCTCTGTGAGCCTGTGTGTATGTCTTTTTCTTATTATTATGTTCATGTACCATGATACTGTTTTGTTTCATAAGCTAAAGGAGCTGTTAAATGTATAGAAGCAATATGGCAGTGTTTTATTGCTGTGTGCTGTACGTCAATATATTCTGCAATTAAACACACATTTTCAAGTACACGATTCACAAAGCTTTTCTTTTCTTATTCAGACACCATGAATATGCAGTGAGAGTCTGCTGAAGGAAGGAAGAAAATCTGGTTTAGAATAGAACAGATAAGTATAGCCCTTCAGAAAAGACAATTCACCTGCTCACAACAAGGGGGCGACAAAGATCCACTCCTGCTGCAGCAGCTCGGGCTCAAACCCAGACTGAGGCGATCCGTGGGAAGATGGCCCGCCTGATGGCTCATACATTCATACATGTGGCAGGTTGTTGCCATGAATGATAAGTATTCTGAAGAAGAGATCCGAGGAAGGACAAATCACAGGCTCTAGGACAGACTTCACAATGTAAGATTAAAATGGGCACTAGCACAGGCCTGTATTTAATTTTTTTCCCACTTGACCTGAACCAAAGACTGCACATTTTATAAGCCTTTGCAATAATATGTACACACGTGGAACTACTATCTGAGACTTACTGACTGGTAGATTGCATGAATTGATGTATTTCCACAAAATAAATTCTGTTTTAAAGCGTGTCATATTAGTTATTGTTTTCACAGGTGCTTTTATTTTTATTTTTTTTAATGATTATTCATTTTATTGATTGTTTGTCACACCAAATTACAGCTCACATCACCAGTTTATTATCATTAAGCTTCATCATTAGATTGTTGTTTTTATTGACAGACCAACAATGCATCTCATTATCCATGCAGAGTCTTTCATTTCAGGTCTTTTCCATTCATATTACTCCATAGTTTTTTGCCTCTATTGTCTAAAAACAAGCTGAACGAAAATTGATAAGAGGAAATTATGCTTGTAATTTTGTTTTAAACCTACAGTAATATCACTGTTTAGTTATCAGTGCTTTATTTCAGCAATTCAGACAATAAGTGGAATTTAATCTCCATAAATTGTATTCGGGCAAAATGCTTCAAATATGGATTGCTTTTGCCACCTCAGCCTCAGTTGGAAATAATCTGTTCTTCAAATCTTCAAAATTGATTTCTTAGAATCTGAAAATAAAGGACTTTTGGAGGTAGCGCGGTAGAGACAAATGGACAGAAGCATAGCCAAGCGCTAAAACATTACTGACAATTAAACTTCCATGTATTTAAAAAGAAGCAAAATAGACAAAAAGCTGGTTTAAACTGCGTAATAAAAAGCACTTGGTTGGATCTGCAGGTAACTCATAACGATACAAAACAGGTCTCAGTTCTGGGCCCAGTCTTTAAATCATTTAGGAGATTCTGCAGGACCACCACGTCCACAGAAGTGATTATTAGACTCGGATTGCCTTCACTACATTTCATATTCTCCCCAAAGGCGTCCCTTATAATCCTCTCAGCCTCATAAATAGAACATTATTGAATTTACTCTATTACTCTCATAGCCTTGAACTGGTCTAGTAATGGAAACCTGCCTAATGGCTTGGTCGTCCTGGGATAATTAACTGAGAAAGAACTGCAGACTCTCATTGTGCATCCCGGCTAATGTCTCACTCTTTAAACCGTGTGTTTTTCTAAGAGACAATCATTACCGCCTCTTTCAAAAAATACCTCCCTTTAGTTTGGTCAGATGAAAAGAAGAGAAAGAAGAAGACGACTACGGTGGGTTAATTTCCCCTTTTCTTCTGGGTTTCAATGGGCATCTTTGTGTGTTTTCCTGGGACTAAGAAAGCGTTCATTGTGCTAATAGAGAGCTGTCATTGTCCCAGGTTCGAATGAGATAGTTTTCAATTCACTCATCAAGTGCTTTAATCACATTTTGAGCCCCGGGCTGGTCTAATCACTTTGTAGATATAATAAACTTTCTCCTCAGACAGAAAGTGGCCCCGAAGAGTTGTGTGTTTCTATCAAAACAACAAGCCTATGCATTAATAATGGGACTATTTTGGGCGTCCGTATTAGTCTCATCGCGTTTCTTTTCCTTTCGAAATTAGGCACGAGTTCACGAGTTCAAAGCTCCAGTGTTTTTCTAGACGTAGACAAACTTTACTGATCCGCAAAGGAAATTATTTGGACACAGTAGCTCACACATCATAATATATTAAAATAACAAGAGCAAAAATGTAAATGGAAACAAAATCTCGTTTTTTCTCGTTCTCGTGGACCGAATCACGTGGTGTGTCTCGTCTCGTTAAGATTGTGTCTTGTCCCATCCCTAATAGACTGATAATTTATTGATCACGAAGGAAATTAATTTTTCAGCTGCAACAATGGAACGCAGTAATAATAATAATTAAAATATGAATACAGCAGTAATTCTAAATACAGTAAAAGTAAATAAATGAGGCATAATTATGTCAAATGTATATGTACAAGTAAAAAAAAAAAAATCTCTCAGCTATATACAGGAGGTCAGGATGCAAAACAGTGCAAAGATCAAAGATATACCGTAATTTTCAGACTATCAGCTGCTACTTTTTTCTCAGACTTTGAAGCCTGCAGCTTATACAGCGATCGGGTTAATGCTTTTGTTTACGTCTGGCTTTTCTGCACGTGCACAGTGGCTGGTAGGGGAAAAAAGTCAGTGGGGCCGCTCGTTTGTGTTGACAGTTGTGTTGTATGTCTGTCATGAAATAACTCGTCTTATTTTGAAGTAGGTTTTGAATTTAATTGTTTTGACATGACTTTATTATCTTACTCTGAGTCACTGAATGTCGAGGATCAAAAACGTTACTTTGAAAAGTTAAAACTTGCCGATAACTGTTGACGATGTTGATACAGACGCTTTTTTCCTACCAAAATAGCTGACGTGACATTGTGTTTTTTCGTATATATGGACAGATTATTTGGATTATTTGTTTGGCACATTGTCCATTCTTATATACGTTCTATGGTTTGGCAACACAGCGGATGTGCGTGCAGTGCGAGTGCAGAAAACGCCGCTGTCTCTGAGGTTAACATTAAGTTGCAATGTTAACACTGTTGTCAGCACTAAAATAGTTTATTTGCCGTGTGATGAAATAAGTTATGATGCTAAATGAACATTAGTGAGAAAGATACGTCTTACCCGTGAGCGTAAATGACGAGAAGAAACGTCTCAAACCTCAGTAGCCGTACATTCACTCCTACCTGGTCGATACAACTAACCTAGCCCTCGGGAGAGTCTGAAATCTGAAATCCTCCAAGACACTGACATGATACAGACAGGACAGCGGCTCTTTCTGCAGGACACATGCGCAAGTAGATCACGGGGATGATGCGCCGAGGAAGATTCTAGTTTGACTGTGTATTGAACAGTTATTTTGCGCTTCAGGCACACACCCTCCTCATGGAAAACACACGTAGAAATACATATGATGCAGCTTTTAAGTTACCTGCGATTGATGTGGCTGTCGATGAAAGAAATCGAACTGCTGCACGTGAGCTCGGCGTCAATGAGTCGATGGTGAGACGCTGGCGACGGCAGCGTGACGAACTGACACGACAAAAGCTTTCAAAGGCGATAAACACAGATGGCCCAGAACCTGCTGCTTATATTCACGTGCAGCCTGTATATGCACAATTTCAAAATTTTGTTAAAATGTAGTTGATGCGGCGTATATTCAGGTGCGCTCAGTAGTCTGGATTGACATGACATAGGGTTATCTGTTATGTAAGGGTGAGTTGCTGTACAATTGCATGGCGTACGGTGAGATTGTGCTCTTGTATCTCTCACTGTTTGAGCTCCTCTGTTCCTCTGTAGTGTGGTGCAGTGGGTGAGCAGCAGTGTCCATGATATACGGCGGTTTATCCAGTGTCCTCCTGTCTCTCACCGTGACAAATGTCTCCACCTCACAGCCGATCACGCGACCACCTTTTCCCGTGCGTTTCCAAACACCTGGTAGTCAGACTGAACCTGGCCGCGTACTGTTCATAATTAACACGTCTATTAATATACAGATATGGTTTTCAACAGCTTAAGTGCTACGGTAGGTGGTAGAAGCCTGAGGGGGATAACAGATCAAATGTAATTAGCCGTACCTAATACATGAGAGAAATGTCTTTATATTTATCCGGCTCTTTTTGCCTTCAGGTTGGTGATGAGAGGAGGCGTCTCCGGGGAGCCACAGACACTGGAACAGAACTCCGAGTCGTATCACAGACCTCCCTTTCTCGAAACTGTCACGCCGTTCCCCGAAATGGCTGTACTAAAGGAACGCCAGGGTACAGTTGCCATAAATGTCTGATGGCCATAGCTGAATAGCAACTACAGACTTATACTGCTTAGTCATCCACTTTAATTGTGCTGCCCGTCTTGCAGCTATAGCCAGGCAATTATCTTATTAAAGGTGCCATTGTAATTTTTATTGCTTTTCCAAGAATGTTCCATTGTACGCCATTTCACTTATGCATCGCCATGGAGACAAGCGGGCGACGTCAACGGGCCGAGACAGATCTTTTGAAGGTGTTGATGCGTTGCGGCTGCTGTCATCAACGTTCCCAAGGGGGTGTGATGCTAACCGGAGGCCCTGCTCTGTCTGAGGTTTTATTGGAGTTTGCAAAAAAATTAAAAAATCTAGCTAAATTAAAATGAGTCACCTAGTGCCTCCGCTCAATTTCATTTCTCTCCAGCGACTAGGTCAGGAATCGGAATACACTAGAAGCCTGGAAGTGGGAGTCCGGGCACCAGACAATCAGTGAAGAGCCATACATTCTGTGTTGGCAACGATTCCCGAGATCGAGGATTTAAAGCCGGAAAAAAGAAATGTTCGGTGAATTTTTTCAAGGGGAAAGACGTTACTGCGATTCTTCCTACAGGAATTGGGAAAAGCTTAATATACCAGTTAACCCCGTTAGTGGCGCACTACATACGAAACGACCAAATAGCAGCGATTGGTTAAATTTAAAAAAGTACCCGCCTAAAGTTGAACGAACAAATCATAATGCTGCGAGGTCAGACGGTTTCCACGAAGTGAAACCGGCTGATGAATCAGGCTAAGATTCAACTTAACAAAATGTCAAATTAAGTGTTTTTCTTAATTCAAGCAACATTAGATTTAGTCTTTTTCTTATTTTAAGTGCAAAAAGTTGTTGTTTTTCTTATTTTAAGTGTAGCAAGACGTATTTTCCTATTTTAGGTACAAAGAATCTTGTTCAACTGGCAGATAATTTTCAAGTGAAATTTACTCAAATCATGATAAAACTTTCTTAATTCCAGTAAT